TTTGGGTTATATTTTATCGATTCTTTAATGTAATGAGTTGGGTTTATTAACAATAAATATCACATTTACCCACTTTACACGCATCTATTTATTCTCTAAATATAAATAATAAACTTTTTTTTGCGTATATATATTGTCCGTAAGCTTCTTTATACGAAGTTTTTTTCGTTTTTAGTACTGTGTAATATTAATTAAAAATTATGTATTTTGATTGGTTAATTATCACGGAATCATGTGAGTGTCTTCCTAGATGTTTTTAAATTAGAATGACCAGAGGCATGCCCAAAAAATTTTCAGTGCCCACAACCTTAGATACAGGTCTAAAATGTCTTGGAGCCGAATTTACCGTTTAATGACTTCTACTAATAAAGCGACAGCTCCGGAAATAATGTCTTGGGGCCAAATTTAGAGCCGTAAGCCGATATATATTTATCAGATGGCTAATATCCAATTGAAATATTTTAGAAACACAAAGAGAATCCTGTTTAAAATAAAACAAAGAGACAAAGAAACATTCATTATAACTTGATTTATTTATTGCATTAATTTAGTGTATATTATTAAGAAAGTTTGGGGTGAATCAATAAAAATCAAGCAAAGTTTTTTTTTTTAAAAAATAACAAACCCAATCTAATTAATTTTATAAACTCAATAAAAAAATCAATCAAAGTTGGTTATTTTTATTCAAAGTTTTAAATTTTATAAAAAATTTATTTAACTCACCCCATTTATTGATCGAAATTCATCAATATTTACTTAATATAACGATATTAATTTTATCCGGCGACTCTGATGAAAATAATCATTAACGAGGATTTTGAGAGTTGGTTGTATAAATGTCATTATTATATAATAAAAAAGCATGTGATTCATTTAACATCGTTAAACTACCCAGTATCGCCTTCAAAAAAGTACGGACACGTGATATTTTTGTGGCGCAAACCAATCATACTTCAAGATCAGGTGTAATATAACTGGAAATTTCAAAAAATTCAAAACCCAGTTTTCCTTGTACGATTTTACTTTCTATCTTGCTAACATTTAACCTCAATACAAACGCTAACCCTAGCTTAAACGAACTTGACGATTTTTTGGAACACCGAAAACACGGTCACGTGTCCGTACTTTTTTTGAAGGCGATACTGAGGAAAATAACATCGTTACCGTTACGCTCAGAATTTGTCTGGTTTTCTTCTACCTATATCAATATCAAATTAAGAATTGTGAGTTATCGTTGATTTGGCGCAGTGGCACAGATCGGAGTTGGTCGGCTCATAAACGGCTCGGCCTTGCAAACATGACCTACATAAGAAAATTTTCTATCTTGGGTTTGTATCACTTGCAGAAATAAGTGTACGTCGTACGTACCTGTTTGACTACAGATATCTTTGACTATATCGATATTCGAAGTAGTTTATAAAATGTAAAAAAAACATCTAAATTTTCTATTTAACTCTTTATATGCCGAAATCCGTTCAGAGATACTCGGCTTTTCTTTTATTAGATCAGATTATCAAGTTCTTTAAAATTGTATAAATTCAACTGTATAAAATTGACCAATCACAGAAAAGTTATCTAGATACAATGAACTGTAAATTAATCTAATAGAGATTGGCTAATTCAACAAAGTCCGCAGTCATTGGTGATCAATGACTAATAAACTCTTCCAAAATTTTTGTTGCGGCATAGTATTTATCATTTTTTTATCTCGGCTTTTTTTTTTATCTCGAATTATTTCGTTTTAAGTTCTTAATGTCTAACAGCATCTCAAGTACAAGTGCTCAATCTTCTACTAGTACCGAACAATCTAGTAGAGGTCGTCATAACCGGGGCGGGCGCACAGGTGGACGTCCGTATCGTAGAAGAGGGCATGGTGAACGCCATTCCGAAAATCCAGCACAAAGTCCAAACGGCATATGCAAATTCGATAAACTTGACAAAGTGGAAGGAAGCACTGACAGTACTTCATTCAGCGAAAACGGCTGTATCATATGTACCGAGTCGATCACTTATTATGCTGTTGCCGAATGCAACCATCGAACGTGTCATCTTTGCAGTCTGAGGTTACGAGCTTTGTACAAAAATAAGAACTGCGCTTATTGCAAGGTATTTTGGCTCAAACTATATAGCTTCAATTCTTAGCGATCTGAAAATGCTTAGATTAAAGAGCATAATTACTAATTAATACCTCTGCATGCGATGCCTCAGACTGAACAAACTAAGGTTATTTTTACCCGAGATTCTGAAAAGCCGTTTCAAGACTACAAGGACACCGATATCCCTTTTAAAGATGAGAAATTAAATATTTTTTGTGAGGATCAGGAAATTTATGATGATATAATTAAAAACTTGAGATTCAATTGTCCTGGCGAGAACTGCAAAGCAGTTTGTGATGGTTGGCAAGATTTGAAAAAACATGTGAGAAGAGAACATAAATTGTGGCTTTGGTATGTTGATATACTGCTTTATATTCATTTTTTTAAAAAAATATATATATATAATGGAGTTGAGTCAATAGAAATCAAACAATTTTTATAATGAAATTTTTTTAAAACATTGAATGAAGATAACTAGAACTTGACAAAGATTTTTAAAATTTTGTTTTTATTAAATTTGGTTAAAAATATTTTCTTGATTTCTATGATTTACCCATGTATATATTTATGAATATAATTCATACTCAATACCTTTTTAATTCATAGTGATCTCTGCATTCAACATAAAAAAAAATTATTTGTGCATGAGCATAAACTCTACACGAGTAATCAGCTTGATAAACATTATCAAGAGGGAGACGAATCCGGGTTCACTGGACACCCTAGATGTGACTTTTGTTATATAGACTTTTATGGTGATGATGAGCTTTATGATCATTGCCGAAATAGTCATGAACAATGTCATATTTGTTTACGAGCTGGAATAAAACATCAATACTATGTAAATTACGGTGAATTGGTAAATATTTTATACTGTGACTTTATTTAAAAGAATTATATTAGGTTAATCCATTGGTATTTTTTATTAGGAAAAACACTTTAAAAATGATCACTTTTTGTGTCTGCACCAAGAATGTCTAGACAAAAAATTTGTAGTTTTCGAAACTGATATCGATTTGAAAGCCCATGAGGTGAGCAATGTTCCAAAATTTATTTCGACAATAAATTATATTTCATGCGTAACGTACTTAAACATCTTGTCGTTTAATTTTTAGCTAGAAACTCACGGATCCTACGTTAGCGGTCAGAGAGCAAAACAACAGGCGAGGCGGATTGAAGTAAATTTTATATCTTACGGTGAATCAAGATTTAGGAATCGTCAGAGATATCAGGAAAGGCAAGTGGTAAGTAATATTTTCATATTAGGTGCCATTTGATCATTTTGTAGCGGTTCACACTTGTTAACATTTATTATTTAAATTGCAGTCAGAAAATAGAATCGATGACAATGACGGTGGTGGATCTACAATTGAAGAAGCTGTGCAACAAATACGGAACATTCATATGTCGGAATCAAACTCTTCGAGCGGTGGTACAAGTGTCAATGCAAGGGCAGTAAGACCACCTCCAGGTTTTGGTGTTTTGTCTCATGATGAAGTTATCAGTCCACCAGATGAACCACCCCCACCACCGCCACAAAACGTCCAACGTAATAGAACCCCTAATCCTACTGTTTCTCGCGTGAGGGATGATGAATTTCCAACATTAAGTGCTGCATCTAGGGTCATTAATAACGCTGGCATACCTCCTATAAATTATAGTGAAAAGGTGCGTGGCAGCAGATCATTGATCAATAAGTCAAACCCTACGTTGCAGCAACGATCAAAATTAAATGGGAAAGGCAAACCATCAACATCAATTATTCAACCTATGCAAGGTTCAAGTAGTGGTACTTCCTCAAAAGGAAAAGAGTTGGCACATATACCTGAGAATCAAACCACCTCTATTTCGGATATCCAAAACCACAACCAAAGGGTAAAGAATAATGCTATTGATACTGTAATTTCTAGGTAATATTATTTATCATTCGGATATATTATTGGTTAATATTGAAATTTGTTTCTGATTATGGTTTTATGCACACGTTATTTGTGACAAATAGTCGGCAGGAAGAAGAATTTCTCCGTCGTGTCAGTGGCTATTTGTCCAACAATCAGTCAAAAATGAACGACTTTCGTTCTTTTACTTCAGCATATAGAAATGAAGTAATTAATGCACCGCAATTTGTAGAGTCTTTATGGAACTTGTTTAACAAGCGTACCGAAACTATTGGAAAAGTAGTGTCTGGATTTGTGGATGTGTTGGATAGTGAAACAAACAAGAGTGCCCTGTTAAGTGCCTGGAACGATCGTAAATCTATGGTTAGTATAATTGATCTTTTTATTTCTTGGTTTTAATTATTATGAAACATTAACTAAATTCTTTCATCTTTCAAGATGAACACTGAATTTCCCGCGTTGGAACTTAGTTCTTCGCCTCAGAAAACCGCAACAGTAAATAAAAATCTTAAAATTCGTAATTCGAATAAACCAGCATCTCGTGTTCTAGTAATAAAATCTTCAAATACCCGATCAGGTGGCGCGCGGCCTAGTGGTACTTAATGCTTGGATCTGGACAGACATCCTATTTTGTATTTTTTTAATCCAGACTTATAAATAGACGTTCCCTCTTATCTGTTATCTGGGCTATATTATACATTACATTTATTAGTTTATTTTGAAATTTGATAATTTGATTTAATCAATTAAAAAAGAAGTCCAAAATAATATTTGTTCTTCATACAATGGTATCCTTATTATTTTCTAACCCACTTTAATAATATACAATTCAATCCTACTTATACCGTTAGCACAAGTTTTACAATCATGTGATCTTAATTGAAATTATACTCCATGCTACGTATCATTATAGCGATAGAACTCTTTATCCATTTGATTCACGTGAAATTTGAACCTTCTGCTTTAATGCTTCCCTAACGCTAAGCACTCCCGTAGACTTCTCATTTTAGGTGTAAATGTAAATCATATGATGAATGATCTACGGACACCCTATCCTTAAAATTTTAAACTATTATTCACTTTCAAATATATATCTTTTTTAAATACAACCTATATGTATGATCGGGGTACTACGTATCTATCTTTAAAAATAAAAAAACTAATTCTTGCCATGCTTGTTAATCTATTATGCAGCATATGTATATATACAGTAAATGGGTATTGTTCAGCCTGAGAATATCGATATGTGCAGTTGAATTTAGTGATACAAGTGATACAAGCTAACGAGAAAACTGCATTGTGTTTTATTCTTTACAGTATAATTTCAAGACACTTCTTTCTAAGTTATTAAAATTCTCTGGCTTTAATTTTATACTTTAAGCAATGGACAACGTTAAGAAAGTGAGTAATTCTATTCTGGACGTTGATGCAGGGCAATGTTACTGAACAAAGCTATTTGCATCTAGAACATGATATTTTAATATATTATTTTTGAGCGATTGCAAGTAGAATAAAGAAGTCTCATAGTTATGACGATTTCTTGTTTTAAACCAATAAAAACAATAATTAAAAACCCTCTTTTTTTTTTTTCTTAAAGAAACTTGATAAATTACGCGCTGAAACCGATGCCGCAGTGCAGCGCGCAGAAGAAGCGGAAGCTCAATATAAAAAAATCGAACAAGAATTGACTGCTAAAGAGCAGGAGAATATTTCTCTTCAAAATAAAATTGCGCTTTTAGAAGCTGAAGTCGAACGAGCAGAAAAAAAAATCTCGGATGCTAAACTTGCCAAGGAAGAAGAAGAAAATAATAAGAACGTCTCAGAAAGTCTTCAGAGAAAAGTCGCTTTACTTGAAAATGAATTGGATAACACTGAAAAAAATTTGAGGGAGACAACAGAAAAGTATATATAATTATATTAAGCAGATAACATGTTAAATAATGATCATTAGTTGACGTGATCTATTTTTTATTTAAAGACTACGTCAAACAGATGTTAAGGCAGAACATTTTGAACGCAAGGTTCAGCAACTTGAAACGGAAAAAGCGGAATTAGAAAAGCAGTTAGAAGAAATGACTAACAAATGTCAAGAAGCCGAAAGAAAATATGACGAGGCAATTAAACAACTTGATGAATTTTAAAATCGAGACGATGTGTGTAAGTTAATTGTGGTTCATAAGAAATTAGTTTATTGACAGAACATATTAATATTATCTGATAGTTATCTTTATTACTTGTTGCTAATGGGTTGAAATAAAAAATTAATTTTTCATTGTTTTGTAATTAAGAGATTGAAATCATTTTGATCACGCTTAATAGTAATAAATATTTAATAATAAATTCATAATTATATAGTAGTCAATGAACTTGTTCTGAATCAGGCCTATCGAATAATTGGTTGTGGGGACAAATAATTGCGCTGCCAATGTGAGTCAATTAATTGCAAAATTTATGCCACGGTTTGCGAATGTGATAACTTGATGAAAAATGTGTAATAATACGTATAAATATTTGCTAATCTTGACATCATAACTTGTAGCTTAAAAAAAAATAAAGAAATCATGCAATCAAATAATTTGTTTTTAATTACATTCTTTTCGAAAATGTATATCAGTTTATTTGTTTAAATTGGATCCAATAAGTGTCAAAGTTCCGAATAAGTGTTATTTAAAAACTTTTTTTCGGACCTGCAGACGGTAGCAAGCATAAATATAATTTATGCCTTTCCGAATCACAACCAATAATCTAAGAAATATAATATACATATGATATATTAAGAGGGAATAGTGGTAAAATCTAGATATATATATATAAATATAGATTGTTTTGGTAAATTTAGTATAAGAACAATATGTTAAGCTTTATATTATAATTAGTAATATAAAATATATATGTAATTTATACAATAAATTATTAATAAAGTTGAAATTTAAGTGCTTATTTTAAAAAATGTTAATATATATTTAAGGTTATACAAATTTAAAATCTTTTATAATAAAATTTTTGAACAAACCTGGCTAGTCAGTTTTTTTAAAAAAAATTTCTATTTAAAAATTGAATAAATTTTTTTGATGTATAGAGGTACACTTAGTGTACCTTATAGCAAAATGAATACAAATAAAAATTAAAATTTGAATTAAGGTTAGAATTGAAATTATAAGAAAAATATTTTTTATTATATTACATAACAAATATCAAAAATATTGAAAGGTATACTAAAGTGGAAAATATATCAAAAAATAATAACACCTTAATACAAAAAAATAAAATAAAAAAATAAAATAAAATCTTTTAAAATTTTTATAATTTGGTTTAACCTTTTTTTTGTTATTATTAAAATTATTTTTAATAATTTTAAATGTTAAGGTAAAGTCTTGCCTTAAATTTTTATAATAGTAATAGTATTATTAATTGTATAATATACGTTATAGGATTGTTAGTAATAACTAGGAGCGGAATGGGCTAGGTTGGGCCAGGCTTGCCTGGGCCAAAAACCAAACCTGAAAAATATTACAAGCCCAAACCCAGCCTGCTAAAAAAAAAAGAGCCCATAAATACGGGTTTTAATTTTAAACTACAAGGTTCCAGTCTATAAAGTTTAAATCACATAATATGCTGCCAAATTTTCAATGAATTGTTAACGTTAAGACGGGTAAATTTGCCACTCAAAAGAGGTTCGAACATCATGTGACAAACATATTGAGCATTAAAAACAAAAAAAATTTAGACTAATAAAATAATAATGATAAGAATAAATTAATCATCTTATTTATTAATAAATGTAATACAGTCATTCCTCATTAATATCAATCCCGTTAATATCAACCTAAGCTATAAAATAAATTTTATATGGAAGTGAGTCAATAGAAATGCAACATATTTTTTCTAAGTAAATTTTTTAAAATTTTAAACAAAGAAAACTCTAACAAAACAAATTTAATAAAAAAGTTTTTAAACCAATTTTAAAAACTTATAGAATTCATTTTTTAAAAAAATTATTAAATTTAATTAAGTTTTTGTTAAGTTATTTTTGTTTAAAAATTTAAAAAAATTATTAAAAATAATATAATGTTTCTATTAACTCATTTTCATATATTAAAATTATATTAAAATCTTTTTTATATTCAACTTTAATATATTTTCTCATTAATATTACTATTAACATTAAATTTTTTTTTCCTTCACTTGAGCAATCTTGCCAGTCATCTTTATTATAAATTTTTGTATACATACATACAAAGTTGCATAAGTTTTGGTCTAACATTCTATAGATATTTTTATGAGTCTTATAAGTGATCTGCCTGCATTAACTATTCAACTTTATAAGAAATTAGAGTATGTCAGAGGTCACATCTAACCATTGTTCTATAATAAAATATTAATCTAATAATATCTTTTTATAGAAAAGTAAACAAAATCAAAAAAACTTTTATATAAAAAAAATACAGAGGTATAAAGATAAATAATAAAAGATACAACACAAGAAATAAATGAAAAATGAAAAAAAATGAAAAAAATATATATATAACTCTTATTATATAACTATTAGATGGTTACAATTATAAATCTGTATTAAACTTTTAAAAATTATAAACTATACTAAATAGAACTTTACTATTTTTCTATTTATTTAGAATATTTAACAAAAATCATATAGAATAAAACTTTGACTTGAATGTAGAAAGTTGGTATAGGTTACTAGTTAGTTTGAAAGCAGTATTTTATAAAATTTCAGTAATTTGAGATATATATATAAGTTGTAATTGTATTACTGTATTATTTTTAATTTATAGCAGTACTAATTCTATTTAAAAAATAAATACTAATAACTGTTTTAGTAATTTTATATATTAATTTTTTGAAAAAAATAAACTAAATTATCTATTTTAACAAAATTTTTCTTGAAGAAAATTAAGGATTAACAATTTTTATATATAGTTTTTCAAGTAAGTTTTATAGTTGTATAATAATTGCTTCAAGTTTCTAATAATTCTGGCTTAAGTTTTTTCATAATTATTTCTAAAATAAACCTTCTAGTTTGAATACTAAACAGAGAGAAAAGTCTACCAAGAAAAAAAGCTTAACTTCTCTTTAAACAATTGCAAGTACACCTGCTTTTTAGTGTTTTATATCTATTTTGGTTTTGTTAACAATAATCTACTTTATATAGAATTGGAAGTATTTTTTTTCTTAATCTTACTATATCATTTTTCTGTAGTTTAGTTTATTGTTATTATTGGCCAGAGGATTGTTAAAAAGAGTTTTTGATAACTACCTAAGTAAATTTTAACTATTAATATTAAATTAAATTATGTTATTATTAAATTATAAAATATATTAAATTCAGTTTTTAATTAATAAAAATCTAATAATAATTGTAATAGAATTATATTAATAAATATTTTTAGTTAATATAATATATATTAAAAATATAGATAAAATAAAATTAAAAATTAATATAATAAAGGATAGTAATCCTAGTGTAGTGATTGGGTTGTCATTCTCTAAATGGCAAGTTTAAGGTTCAAATCTTACTTATAACAAAATTTGAAAATTAAACTATGTTATAGAAAACTGTCTTCTGACAATCAGTTGGATTTAAGTATCTGTAATCTTGAGTACAACCAATTAGATTTAACTTGTTATTAAGAGCTTGAAGTATCTATATAAAGTGTAATGTTATATATTATATGTATATAGAGGAATGTTAATAACTGATGTTGTATAAGACTTTAGTGCAAATCCATGATAAGACCATCAGATGTAAAAGACTAAAAAACTGAGAAACCAGAATTCTACTTGAAAATTCCTGAATAAAGAGGTAGTACAAGTCTTCAATAGTACTGTTAGACTGATGGAAGCTCAAAAAAACCTAATAAGAAATAAGGCAGATGTAACCAGATAGAAAAATGTATAAAAGAGCACATGACCAATCAGGCTGCCAAAATTACTAAAGGAAAAGAATACCAAAAGATATATTATACTGGGCTATCTGAATTAGAAGTCTGAGAAATTTGTCAGATTCTGAGTTGAATAGTAGAAGGATGAAGAGAAGAAGTCAAAAAGATAGATATTGGAGTTTGAGTAAACTTTATAAGAATAAAAATAATATAATGTAGCAGTTTAACAGATAATTTCTGTAATTGCAAGTGTTAGGTAAAGGGTATGGGTCCCATAGCTTAGCGGTTAAGCTCCCATATCCTCCACAGTCAAGGTCAACAGTTCAAGTCTGGTTGGAGGCAAAAAATTAAAAGATTTTAGCTTCTGTAACCTAATAAGGAGCCTGTAATTGAATACGAAGCCCTGTGGTTAAGTCCAA